TTAGAGATAATCTTCTACCTTGAAACTTAGACTCCCTGAAATGTGTGCTCTCCTCACAATATAATTTTATAGGTTGAAGATGTTGTCCTAAGAAGATCTAAGGAGCTTTAAGATGAGAAACAGATGAGCTATGTTACATGGCATGCATAATATGTTTGACTCACTTCTTAAAGTTTCACATTTTGATGTAGTTAGACAGTTAAAATACAAATCACCAGACCCTTCATTATACTCGTATCACTCTAAAGAGAAATGGGAGAAAATAACAGTTATTGTAGTGTTATGATAGTGAAGAAAACTAATTAGCTTAGGTCAGAGGATAAAAAGCAGAATGGTAAGCAGTTACTAAACATTAAAAGAAAGGAAGAGATAGATTTCATGAAGCAATAGATCAAAGGAATAAAACCCAGGCTGAGTTAAGTTCATTGCTAACACAATTCCTCTTAATGCAGTAAAGCAAATGAAAAATCAATTAACTAGAAAGGATTTCACTTTATATCCGACATACTCACCGTTTCCACTCTCCAATGACTTATCAAATTTGCATAAATAAAAGTCATAATTAATGTAAATGTAGAGTACACAACCATAGTTTTCCTTAGGGATCGTGCAATGTCAAAAACTGTTAGAGATGCTACTTAATATTTCAAGACACCTCTGTAGTACTCACGGGTAAAACACAAAAGGTGCACAGCAATGTCAATAAATATATGGAAGAGAAAAAAAAAAAATAAATATATGGAAGAGCCAATCAGACAAAGAGGGTAAAATGGATATGTAGAACAATCTCCTACAATATTTGATTACCAGTCTACTTAGTAGGCTAGGTGTAAAATCTTTAAAGATTATATCTGAGTAACAAAATCCTATCGTCGAAATGGTCAAAAGCAGGAAATCATCACATGATCTTATTTACACAGATTAAGAAATAAGTAACACAGTCTGGTACACTACAGATGATATGTAAAGTTGATTACTTCAGTTTCTACATAAAGTAAAAAACGGCAGTGTTCTTTAGTGCTCCACATAGTTTTGCTCTTTCATAGTCTCTTGGACAAATCGTAATTTTCAGAAAGCTGTGAAACCATTTCACACCTCTATATCCATCCCTCACTGCTGGGGTGTCAAATGCAGCCTCAGTTTAACTTCATTAGGTAAGAACCGTATTATACTTCTTACAACAAAACTCTACCTTCAAAATGAGATTCCTCTCTGTCCCATTTTTCAGTTGAGGTCCCTCTTCTGGGTTAGTTCGAGTGCATTAATCTGAAAAATTCATTCATGCCAAAAGTCATTCATGGGATACTGGGTTACCTCATTTGAAAATAGATCTCCACTGTAACATCTGGTCTACCTAGGCTTTATTTTAATTTGTGGATTGGTGAATTAATTTCAGACACCATTTAGGACACGTATGTTAAAGAAGTTGATTCATATATTTTCAAAGGACATTTCAGGTGAGAGCAAATATAGAATAGCATGAAACAGAATGGACAAACATCCTGCCTCAAACTCTGAAATGTTAAAAGTGTTCAGGAGCATACAACTGGGAAAATTCACAAAAATCCAGGAAACTTGCAGTGATGATAAAATCTGGTAAGAGGTTTTCATAAGACCTCTATTTACATAGATGTGAAGTAATTTCCAAGGAAGCCACTTCTGTAACAAATCACTCCAGCCCTGCAATTCACAAATCCTTAACTAAAATGATCTCAACTTTAAAAAATTTATGTTTACATCTACAGGATTCATGACAGTTAATACCTACTAATGGATGTGTTCAGAAATGAGAAACTTGAATATGAAGATATTTAAAATTATTTATTTTTGAATTCCGGTATAATTAACAAATAGGGTTGTATTAGTTTCTGGTATACAATATAATGAATCAGTAAATCTTTGGATTTGCATTTCCCTGATGATGAGTGATGTTGAGCATCTTTTCACAAGTGTGTTAGCCATCTACATGTCCTCTTCAGAGAAATGTCTTTTCTTGTCTTCTGACCATTTCTTAATTGAAGTTTTTGGTTTGAGTTCTATAAGTACTTTATGTCCTAACCCTTTCCCAGATGTATCATTTGTAAATATCTTCTCCCACTCATTAGGGTGCCTTTTAGTTTCATTGGTTGTTTTACTTCACAGTTCAGAGTTTTTATTTTGATGTAATCCCAACAGTTTATTTTTGCATTTATTTCCCTTGCCTCAGGAGATATATCCAGAAAAAAATATTACAATGGCCTATGTCAGGGATTACTGCCTGTGCACTCTTCTAGGATATCTATGGTTTCAGATTTCATATTTAGGTCTTTAACCCATTTTGAGTTTATTTTGGTGTATGGCTCAAGAAAGTGGCCCAGTTTCATTCTTTTACATGTGGCTGTGTACTTTTCCCAATACCATTTGTTAAAGAGATTGTCTTTTCCCCGTTGTATATCCATTCCTCCTTTGTCAAATATTAATTAACCATACAATTGTGGGTTTATTTCTGGGTTCTCTATCCTATCCCATTGATCTATGGGTCTGTTTTTGTGCCAGTACCATACTGTTTTGATTACTATAGCTTCGTAATATAACTTGAAATCTGGAATTGTGATTCCTCCAGCTTTTTCTTCAAGATTGCTTGGCTATGCAAGTTCTTTTTTGGTTTCATACGAATTTTGTTAGTTTTTGTTCTGTGAAAAATGCTGTTGATATTTTGATGGGATTGTATTCAATCTAGATTTCTTTGGGTAGTATGGACATTTTAATAAGACTTATACTGCAAATCAATGAGCATGGAATGTCTTTCCACTTGTGTAGTCTTCAATTTCTTTCATCAGGGTTTTTTTAGTGTTCAAAATACAAGTCTTTTACTGCTTTGGTTAAATTTATTCCTAAGTACTTTACTATTTTGGGTACAATTGTAAATGGGATTGTTCTCTTAATTTCACTTTTTTAAAAAGATTTTTTTGATTTTAAGCCATCTCTACACTCAACATGGGGCTCAATTTCACAACCCCAAGAGATTGAGTCACATGCTCTACTCACAGAGTCATCCAAGTGCCCCTCTTAATTTAACCTTCTGATGCTTCAGATTTCTGTCCATTGATTTTGTATGCTAAACCTTTACTGAATTAATTTATCAGTTTTAGTAGTGTTTTGGTGGAGTATTTAGGGTTTTTTATGGATAGTACCATGTCACCTGCAAATAGTGGGAGTTGCACCTATTCCTTACCAATTTGGATGTCTTGTATTTCTTTATGTTGTCTAACAGCTGTGACTAGAATTTCCAGTACTTCATTGAATAAAAAATATTGAGAGTGGACATTCTTGTCTTGTTCCTAACCTTAGGAGGAAAGCTTTCCGTTTTTCCCGTGTTGAGTATGATTTTTGCTCTAGATTTTTCATATAAGGCCTTTATTATTTTGCAGTATGTTCCCTCTAGACCAACTTCTCAAATGTTTCTTCTGCCTATTGAAATGACCATGTCTTTTATTCTTACACTTGTTCATGTGATGTATAACATTGATTAATAGGTGAATATTGAAACATCCTTGTATCCTGGAAATAAATCCCACTTGATCATGGAAATGATTTTTTAAATATATTATTGAATTCAGTTTGCTAGTATTTTGTTGAAGATTTTTGCATCTATGTACATCAGAGATATTGTCCTCTTTTTTTGTAGTTTCTTTATCTGGGTTTGGACTCAGAATGATATTGGCCTCATTGAATGAGTTTGGAAGTTTTCCTTCCTCTTCTATTTTTTTGGAATAGTTTTGAAAAAACTAGTTATTAATTCTTCTTTCAGTGTTTGGTAAAATTTGCCTGTAAAGCCACCTGTTCCTGAACTTTTGTTTGTTAGGAGTTTTTTTGATTACTGATTTACTTTCATTGTTGGTAATTAGTCTATTCAAATTTTCTGTTTCTTTCTGATTCAGCTTTGAGAGGTTACCTATGTGTCAGAAATTATCCATTTCCTCAAGGCTGTCCAATGTATTCGCATAATGTTTTCATAATATTCTCTTACATTTGCTTGTATTTCTGTAGTGTTGGTTGCTATTTCTGCTACTTCACTTATGACTTTGTTTATTTGGGTACCTGTTTTTCCTCCTCCTCCTCCTCCCCCCCCCTCCTCCTCCACTTCCTTCTGATGAGGCTGGCTAGATGTTTATTGACTTTCTTGACTTTTTGAAAGAAATAGCTCCAGGTTTCATTGATTTTTTTTGGGGGGGGGTTCGTTTTAGTTTCTGTATCATTTTTTTTTTTTGCTCTAATCTTTATTATTTCCTTCCTTCTGCAGGTTTTGGGTTTTGTTTGTTCCTCTTATTCTAGCTCCGTTAGGTTTAAGGTTAGGTTGTTTGAAATTTTTGTTGCTTCTTGAGGTAGGCTCCTTGAGGTAGGAAGTTTGCTGTAAATTTCCCTCTCAGACCTGTTTTTCCTTCATCCCAAAGATTTTGTACCAATGTATTTTCAGTTTCATTTGTTTCCATGTAATTTTTAATTTCTTTTCTGATTTCTTGCTTGACTCATTCATTGTTTAGTAGCATATTATTTAGCCTCCATTTATTTGTGCTCTTTCAGATTTTTTCCTGTGGTTGATTTCTAGTTTCATATCATTGAAATCAGAAAAGGTTCATGGTATGACTTTGATCCTTTGAATTTTTTGAAGCTTGTTCTGTGGCCTAATATGTGATCTATTCTGGAGAATGTTCTGTGTGCACTTGAAAAGAATGTGTATTCTGCTGTTTTAGTATGGGATGTTCTGAACAGACTGATGTTAGAGCCATCTGGTCCAGTGTGTTATTCAAAGCTACAGTTTCCTTGTTGATTTCCTGTTTGGATGATTTATCCATGTAAGTGGGGTATTGATGTCCCCTACTCTTATTGTATTGCTACTGACTAGTAAATTTATGTTTGTTATTAACTGTTTTATATATTTGGGTGCTCGCATGTTGGGTGCATGAATATTTGCAATTGATATATTTTCTTGTTGGATTGTCCCCTTTCTTATCATATCTTATCCCTTTTTGTATCATTCCAGTCTTTGTGTTATCCTTGTGCAAGGGCCATGCTAATATTCTCTGTATCATTCTAATTTTAGTATATGTGCTGCCAAAGTGAGCACCAGTCTTTATGTTAAAGTCTATTCTGGCCAATATAAATATTGCTTCTCTGACCCTCTTATGACATCCATTTGCATGACAAAAATTTCACCCCTTCACTTTCAGTCAGTAGGTGTCTTTTGATCTGAAATGAGTCTCTTACCGGGCGCATATAGATGGGTCTTGTTGTTTTTTAAATCCACTTTGTTTTCTTTTGATTGGAGAATTTAATTGATTTAATTTCAAAGTAATTATTGAGAGATATCTATTGCCATTTTGATACTTGTTTTGTGATTGTTTTGTAGTTCATTTTTCATCCTTCTCTAGCTCTCCTCCATGGTGTTGGCTTTTTTTTTAGTTCTATACTTACACCCATTTCTCTTTATTCTGTGTATATCTATTATTGTTTTTTGACTTGCAGTTACCATTAGGTTTACATATAACATCTTCTGCATATGGCAGTGTATATTAAGTTGATAGTCACTTAAATCTGAATCTATTCTTTACCCTTCTCCCCAAATTTTAAGTAAATGGTTCCATGTTTTCTATCCTTTAATTTTATGAATCCCTTGACTGATTTTTACAGAAATACTAATTTTTACTGCATTTATGATTTAGTTTTCATACTATCACTTATAGTCTTTCCACTCAAAGAGTTCCCTTTAATGTTTCTTAAAGAGCTGATTTAGTAATCATGATCTCTTTTAACCTTTCTTTGGAAATTCTTTATCTTTCCTTGTATTCTGAATGATAGCCTTGCTGGATAGAGTATTCTTGGCTGCAGATTTTTTCCCATTCAGCACTTTGAATATATCATGCTATGCTTTTCTGGCTTGGAAAAATCTGCTATTGTCTTATGGGGTTTCCTTTTTATGTAACTATCTTCTTTTCTCTTGCTGCTTTGAATGTTTTTCTTTATCATTTTTGCCATTTTCATTCCTATGAGTCTTGGTGTGGATCTCCTTGGGTTGAATTTTTGCGGGAATCTCTGTGCCTCCTGGATCTGGGTATCTATTTCCTTCTCCAGAGTAAGGAAATTTTCTGCTATTATTTCTTCAAATATACTTTCTGCTCCCTTTTCTCTCTCTTCTTCCTATGAGTCCCAATAATGTGAATGTTATGCTTGATGGAGTCACTGAGTTCCCTAAGACTAGTCTCAATATGCATATTTTTTTCCTCTCATTTGTTCACCTTGTTAATTTTTCAATTACTCTTCCAGCTTATTGATTCATTTCTCTGCTTCTGCTAATTGGCTATTTGTTCTATCTAATGTCTTTTCAATTTCATTTGCTGTGTTCTTCATTTGTTTCTTTGTTTCTTTGTTAAGGATCTTATGTCCTCCACTCTTAAATCCCTTGAGTATCTATATTACTTATATCTGTTTTGCTGTGGTTTGGTGGTGTTCTTTCATTTGGGAGATATTCCTCTGGTTCCTTAGTATGTCTAACTCTCTCTGTTTCTGTGTGTTAGGAAAATCAGCTACATCCCTTGCCTTTAAAGGTAAGGGCCTTATAAAGAAAAAATCCTGTAGTGCCATGCAGTGAAGTGTCTCCTGTTCTCTAGGGCCCGGTGCTTCAGGGAGTATCTCCTGTGTATGCTGTATGTACCCTGCTGTTGAGCTGGCCTCTTTGTCCTTCATTCCAGTTGTCTGTAAACACTCTTTGCCTGTTGTGTGCTGTGTTTGGTCCCTGGCTGCTTACGGACCACACATTTTAACAAGGGGTATGTTAGTTTGCTTGTGAAATGTGACCTCTAACCACTGCAGCCAGAACTAAGGCCCACAAAATCCACAGGTCAGGAGATGAGGTGTTGGTAGAGGTTTGAACTGATATTCTAGGGGAGGAGTTCAAGGTACCAGGACTGAGGCGAGTGTGACTGTCAGAGGTGGATTTTTGCTATGTGGGGTGTGGTGTGAGCAAGTTAGGTAGTGAGTGTCAGCACTGTGCTGGTTTTTTCAGGTGGCCAAGTGTTTATGCTGGTTGGGGGAGAGAGTGGGTGAGGGAAATGGTATCTATTAGCCCCTTTGTTCCTGGAGCAGTCTCCTGGTGATTCTTGCCTCTCAGAGTCAGCTCTGCAATGAATGAATAATCCCTCTCCCTTCCCTGGGGCATTTTTCAAATTGCTGTTTCTGCACCTTATCTCCACTGGCTGTTTTTCCTGCTATCTCTTTAGAGGTGGGGGCTTGACTTCCTGACGTCCTCAAGGATCCCCTGAGCCTACCTTGCTGATTTTTAAAATTCCAAGCTTTAAATTATGCTGATTCTAAGAACTCACAAAGTTCAGCCCCTCTTGCTTTCAAAGCTAAATGTTATAGGAGTTTGCCTACACTGTGCAGGCTCCCCAGTGTGATTCTCTCCTTGCAGATTGTCAGTCTGTTTCTCTCCCTTCTCTATACTCTCCTCACCCCAGATCACTATGGTCCATTTCACTCCTGAACTGTTTCTCCACCTTCCTACCTTCTGTGATGTGGTCTCTTTTCTACCTTTAGTTGTGGAGTTTGCTTTGCCACTCTTTGGGTCATTTTTTGGGTTATTTACACTGATGTGTTATCTAGTTCTGCCATCTTCTCATCCTCCTCTGAAGATTTTTTAATAAAAATTATCACCAGAAATATTATTTCCACAATTTTCCATTACTCTGATCCAAGATATGAGGCAAAACTAAGCATTACTTACTGATGTGGGATTCAGAATTCAGAGGTGGGTATGGAATATAGGATAAGAGGTGAATAAAATGCATTAGGGCAATTTAAAAATAATGAAAAGAAAAACAAAGAAGGTTGATGAAGTGATTTATTTCCACTATTGGCTAAACTTATGCAAATAACTGAAAACTTTATCAGCTGGTGAATATTTTACTCAATATATGTTTTAGAATTGATGTGATATATTTATAGGGTACCTTTTCTAAGAAGTTTTCTAAAGCCATATTGAAAAGAAGCTATTAGCAAAACATTCTAAGCAAATACAAATGAAATAAGAATTCTCTGAGGACTTATAAAGAGGTTAGAAAGAAGTATAAAATTACCCCAAATTTTCAGAACATTAGTCTGAAGGTAAAGGCCACACTTCTATTCCTAAATTAAGGCTTTTAAGTTTTCTTTTACTGCAACTTTATTATGAGTAGCCATTTTTTCACTGAATCTATATAGATTTTAGAAACAATATTTAAAAAATAATATAATTCTCAAAGTAATTTGATAACTATATATTTAAATAATTGAAAATGTAGTGCATTTTAAGATGAGTGGTACTGCGCATAAGTAAAAATGTATTTAATTTTACCTAATTCATTCCACTGATTCTATCTCAATATATTTTCACCATTCAATAAAATGTGATATTTGATTTAGAAAAATCCTATGAAAACAGATAACACTGCTGAGCTTTGTTGGCATAGCATTTGCTTATGAGAAAATAGCCAGACCCCTTTAAAACTTCATAATAACAATAATCTCACCTCCAATGGTGGTTATTAAACTTATGAAAATGTATACCATAAATATCACTAACTGGGAAAGACTGCATCTTGAAACCCTTAATGTTTAAATCAATAGTAGTAATATAAATGTTTTTATGATTGAAAAAAGTAATTCAAACTATAGTGCCTGTAAGATTCATAATAAAAAATAAGTGTATAGTTCAACCTAGAAGTATCACATGGTGAACATTTTAAAAATATGCCTAGTTCAAATTAAAATTATCATTATCATTTTCAGAGGCAGGCAGGAAGGACAAGAGAATATTACCCATTGCTTTCTTCACTTGTCATTAATAAGCATTATGCTTTTCATAATTTCAATAGACCCAAAGAGAGTACAATAAAATATATCTTATTTCATTTTGAAGTGAAAATAAAACCATCTCATTAAGAAAATCATGTTATAATGACTAGAGAACAACTGCGCCTACATAACTTTATTGGGAGCAAAGGCTATCCTTAATAGACACAAAGTAAGTACATTACTAAAGTGATGAATTTTCTGTCATACATTTTTAATTAAAGCCAATGTTGTCACTAAAAAAGATACTTCTTCAAGTCATTCACTAACCATGAGTATCAAAGGCTCTTGGGATAAAGAATCATAGAAAAAAGAAGGATGTTCATGATTATATGAGCATTACTATAGAATCATATAGCTAAAAAAGATATGGGGACTGTTCTCTTTTTATTTTTGTCACTTCTACCTGTGATCACTTCTGCCTATGAAGGGACTTAAGTATTTTCGGTAATTTTTTTTTTTTTTTTTTTTGCTTAATTTAGATTTTTAGACAAACCTCTTGTTCTTTAAAAGGCATCCTGATATTAATCATCCTGTCATTAAGCCTTAGGGAAATTCCGAAGAAATTGCCCTGTTATTTACCTACAAAATTCATAAAAAGGAAGAGTCTTCAATCTGATCAAAATTTTCTTGTCAATGAGGAGAAAGATGAATCCAATTTGCTTTTAGGCATTTAATTTTCACCCACCTCAATATAAATATTTTTCCCTCTGCTTCACTAAGGTATAATTGACAAGTAAATTGTAAGATATGTCAAGTGTACAAGGTGATGAATTGATATATGTATACATTGTGAAAGGATTCCCCAATAATTTAATTAACAGATCCATCACCTCTATGCTTATATGTTTATTTATTTATCAGTAAGAACATTTAACTTTTACTTGCAGCATTTTTTGTTAATGAATCTTCTGATACTTTATTATCTTTTAAATTTTAATTCCAGTGTGGCTAACATACAGTACTATATTAGTTTCAGGCATACAATATAGTGATTCAACACTTCCATATATATATATTTATATATATATATATATATGTATGTAATATATATATATATATAAATAATTTAAAGATTTATCTATTTAAGAGAGAGAGAAAAAAAGAACACACATGGGAGGAGGGGCAGAGGGAGAGAAATTCTCAAGTAGACTCGCCTGCAAGTATGGAGCCCGACACACGGCTTAACCTTAAGACCCTGAGTTTATGACTCAAGCTGAAATCAAGAGTTGATGCTCAACT